TAGGATGAGGCAGGAGGGTCCCAGCTACACAGGTCTCTGCTTGCCAGTGCGCAGCTCAGCTCCTGGCCGTGAGCCTCCCCGGACCGGACCGGACCGGGCCCCTGCTCCTGCCCTCGACCGGTTCCCATATGCTCTCAAGGCACAGCCTGTGCCCGCTTCCCGTAGCACATCCTCCTCCCCGGCAGTCGGGGATTCCAGCACAGCCTGAGCCTGTGCCCACCTCTCTGGAGCCCCGCGTGGCTCCCCGTGCCCTCCCCTGCTCCAGTCAGGGCGGGTGGTGCCACCAGAGGAGGGTGGACGCGGTGGGCAGTGAGCGCCCAGAAGGCAGCACAGTGGCCCCTTCTCCGACCCGCAGGCCCAGGCCCCACCCAGAATCAGAGGCAAGTTGGTGGCTCCAATCGCTTGTCCCCAAGGGCAGCGGCGGCCCAGCGCCCAGGGGTTGGAGCCTGAGCTGGCCGTGCTGACCCTGCCGTCTCTGGTCACCGCAGGATGGGCCTCACGGCCAGGGAGAGCACATGCTAAACTGGCCCGCGGCTGTGCTTGCTAGGCCGAGGGGAACACGGTGGGCCAGGAGCCAGCCCCAGCAACCTGGGGCTCGGTTTCCTGGGTTCCAAGGAAGGGTCTGTGCCCTGGGGTCCCCTGGGTAACGTGCAGGAGCTGGCAGTGCAGCCTGGGTGGTGTTTGTCCACGCCCATTCACTGCAGGCTGCTTTTACGCCTACGTTTTCCCATTTCCTGTTTCTGCCTTGTGGTGCTGGGGATTGAACCCAGGGCCTTCACACTGTGCTCCATCCCCAGCCCTTCTTGTTTCATTTTGAGACAGGATCTTGCTTAAGTCACTAAGTCGCCCAGGCTGAGCTTGAAATTGGGATCCTCCTGCCTCAGCCTCTCAGAGTGCAGGAATTATGGCCAGCTACACTATGCCAGCTGATTTCCTATATATACATTTTTCTTTGTTTTGAGACAGTGCCTTCCTTGCTATGTAGTTCAGGCTGGCCTGGAACTCAAGGTGATCCTCCTGCCTCAGCCTCCTTAGTGCCGGGATTGTTGTGCTTTTTTTTTTTTTTTGTACCGAGGATCAAATTTAGGATCTGTGCTTTCCAGGCAGGCATGGTGCCACTGAGCTACATCCCCAGCCCTTGGGATTACTCTGGATGCACTGGTACTGGGGCCTCTCTGCCCCTTGCAGGGCTGGTGGGTTCCTAGAGGTGGTGAAGGCCTGGGCAGAAGCAGGCTTGCCAAGGACCAACCGCCCCAAGTCTGTGTCCGGAGCCACCTCCCTGGGCTGTCAGGTTCCGAGGTGATGTCTCCTCTGCACTGAAGCCCTGGGTTGCAGTGACTGGCGCTCGGCTCCCGGGCCTGCCGACCTCCGCAGTACAGAATGATCGTGTCCTCACGGAGAGCTGGGTATGTGCACAGGACGCGTCCTCTTTCTTTTTCACCCCCTTCCCTCCTCTCGTTCTGTCTCTTGGTTCCTTTCCTGTCTGCAAAAGATCTGTTTCCTACTAGCTACATTTTATTCTGCTCTTTGATTTATTTCTACTCTGGGTTTCTCGTAGAGGAGATGCCGTGTGGTATTAATAACTTGTGTGCCTCATTTCTTTCACTTAACAGCGTGGTCTCACGGCGCATCCGTTTCCTATGAACGAGTGGCGCCCACCCTTCTTTATGGCAGAGTAGTAGTCCATGGTGTGTAAAGGCCACAGTTTCCCCGCCCGCTCATCTGTCGCTGGACACATAGGCCACTTCTGACATTTAGCTACTGTGGACCGAGCTGCTGTCAACACGGGTGTGCGTGGGTCACTGAAATGTGATGTCTTCAGCTCTTTGGGGAAGATGCCTAGAAGCGGGGTCACTGGTCAAGTGGAATTTCTAGTTTGAGTTTTCTGAGGACTCTCCGTGCTGATTTCTGCAGTGCTTGTGCTCCTTTACATTCTAGAAGGCTGCCTTTCCTCCCACAGCCTGGCCAGCTCTCGGTGGTACCTGATTTCTAACAGTAACCATTCCTTCCTCTGTCCTCCGGCACCCAGGGGTGGAGCTGTGGGGCTGGTGGAGCCAGGGACTGTCCGGTGACTCCCGGTCCCTGGGTGGCGGGGTGCTGTGGGAGGGACCCAGCCCTGGAGTGTCCTGGCACCAAGAAGCAGGGATCTCCAGCTGGCACAGGGGTCCCTGTCCTGCAGAGGGGAGAGGCCTCACAGAGTGTGAGGCTGGGAGGGGTCCCTGTCCACACTTCCAGTGTCTGCCTGGCCCAGCGCAAGGCCTGCTGGGAGGCAGAGCTGGACCACGGTGGGGCCCCAGCAAGGCCCTTCCTCCTCCGCCTCCCACCCGACCCCAGCACCCCCATCCCGGTTCCCCGCAGCCCCCACTGCCCTGACACTTATCCCCAGAAGCCCCAGGAGGGCAGGGACAGGGCTGCCTATTGGGCCCAGCCTCTCACTGAACAGCGTGTGTGTGTGTGTGTGTGTGTGTGTGTGGCTGCTGGACGGGGAGGCTGGGGGCAAGGATGTGGGGCCCTTACCTATCAGCTCCTCCATCTTCCCCAACCCCAAACACAGAAACACAGGAAATGTGTGGCCACCTCCCTCACCCAGACGCCCCAGAAATGTTAACTTGTGCCACTCTCCCCTTCAATGTTTTGTTCTGTTTGTGGGGTTTTTTTTTTTGTACCTGAGATCGAACTCGAGTCCTTGTGTTTGCAAGGCAGAAGCTGGAACCACTGAGCTAAATCCCCAGCTCTGTTTGTGGACTTTTTGAGACAAGGTCTCGCTATGTAGTCCAGGCTTTCCTTGAATTCACTGTATAGTTGCCCAGGCTGGCCTTGGACTCGCCGCGATCCTCCTGCCTCAGCCTCCCGAGTGCTGGGAGTGTGGGCCACCGTGCCTGGTTTCCTTTCAAGCTTTTATTGGTCACAGGCTCAGCGCTTAAAGAGGAGACCAGGGGCCCTGGGTTCTAGGGACCGTTTCCCTGGGTGATGTGGTGACAGGTCAGCAAGTCCTGGTTGCCCACCTTCAATTGCACCAAAGCTTCACAACCTTGGGATGTGGGTACCATTTTTACCACTTTCCTCATGGGGACACCAGAAATAGAGGACATAGCTTTCCAAGGCCTGTGCGGGCCCGGCAGGTGCAGGAAGCCAACACACACGTATTTGCACATTCCAAATGAGGAAGAGCATGATCTTGTTCAAAGATGAAAGGGTGGTGACACACACCCCTGTAATCTCAGCACTCAGGAGGCCGAGGCAGGAGGATCTCAGTGAGTTTGGGCTACACAGTGAGTTCAGCAGTGGGACCTCATCTCAAAAGACCAATTAATCCATTTACGTTCACGGAAATGGGTAGCTGTGCTACAGTATGTAATAGCCTTATTTTTAGGAAACACATTAAGGTGTTCAGGAACCAAGGGCCATGATATACGCAGTACACTTTCGAGAGTTCAGGAAGAGGCGAACATGTGTGCATGCGGTGCAAAAAGGTGAGGACAAGTGATAAAGCAAACCTTCGCCACACTAGCAGCAACTGAGTCAAGGTGACAGGTGGATTTGTCTGCACCGGCTGCCTAACAAATCACCTCAGGCTGGTGGCTTGAACAACGGAAATGTATGCCCTCCAGTTCTCAAGGCTGGAGTCCAAGACCCAGGGGCCCACTCAGTCTGTGTCCACTGAGGCCCCTCTCCTGGGCTTGCAGACCCGCTTCATTTTTTTTTTTTTTTTTGGTACCAGGGATTGAACTCAGGACCTTGCACTTGCGAGGTAGGTGCAGTGCCATTGAGCTACATCCCCAGCCCTCCCTCTGTTTATTTATTTTTGTTTTATTTTATTTTATTTTTTGGATTTTTGAGACAGGGTCTCACTATGTAATTGAGGCTGACCTGGAACTCACTTTGTAGCTCAGGCTGGTCTCGAACTCACAGCGATCCTCCTGCCTCAGCCTCCCGAGTGCTGGGATGACAGGCGTGCGTCGCCATGCCTGGCTGCCCTCCGTTTATTTTTAATGTTAGTTTCTAGTATAGGTGTTTCTGAGCCAAGTGTGGTGGTACACGCCTGTCATCCCAGCACTTGGGAGGCTGAGGCAGGAGGATGGCCAGAGGTTCAAGGCCAGCCTGGGCTACATAGTGAGACCCTGTTTCAAAAAACAAACAAAATGAGGGCTGGGGATTTAGCTCAGTGGTGCCACTGCCTGCCTCACAAGCTCAAGGTCCTGAGTTCGATCCGCGGTACCAAGGGACAGGGCTGTGGTCACAATGCTTGGGGTACACCTGCCCACCCCCGCCTGCTTACGCCGGGCAGGGTCCCGTCTTTCGCTTGCGGCTCTTTGCCCTCCCCTGGCGTTGCAGCCGCGGGCTTCTGGTCCTGTCCCTATCCAGGGCACGGGTGACCTCCAGGACCTCCTGGCTGTTTCCTGACCACCCACTGGTGGCCGGCACTGCCCGGGCTGTCACACGTTTCCCTGGCACTCCTGGGTGATTCCGTCAGGCCTGTTTCCAAGTCTATACCTTGACACACTTCAGGGCAAAGTTCATGCACCTCCTTGATTGATTGACTGATTGATTGATTTTGGGGTTTTGTTTGATTGCTTCTTTGGGTCTTGCTATACAGTCCAAGCTGGCTTCAAATTCCTGGCAAACTTCCTGCCTCAGCCTCCCCAGTGCTAGGATTATAGGTGTACGTAACCCGCCTGGCCTGGGGCCCTTTTCGTTTTTTTAAAGACATTTAGTCCAGGCTGGCCTCTAATGCGCGGAGATCCTCCTGCTTCAGTCTCCCAAGTGCTGGGATGACAGGTGTGCGCCACCACACCTGGCTTGCATATTATTTTAAATCTTAGGAAGTTTCACAGGAAAATCAACATTTCTAGCTTCCTGGGTGGGCTGCGTGTACAGAAGGAGGATCCGCACTCGGCTCTCACAAACACACTCAGCCACTCCCTGTGGCCCGCTGGCCCTCGTGCTCTGGGGCCAAGATGGCCACTCCCCCTGTGCCCAGGGTCCCTAGCTGGGTGAGGTTCCATCCCGTCCCCAGCTGGTCCTGCTCTGTGGGTTCCACACCGCGGGTTCCCACTGCACCAGGCACCGACCCGTGGACGCGGCTGCTGGCAAACAGCGGTGAATTATTAACTGGACGCTGCGGGGACACCTGAGCTGGCAGGGCAGGCCAGGCGCCATGGATACAGGTGAGACTGCGGGCCCAGCTCAGGGAGGAGGCGACCCTGAGCGGGGACGGGAGACCCCAGAGGGGACAGGGTGGCTGCAGGGTGTGGGGGTCCAGGTGCTGTACAGGTGGGGGCCTCACAGCACACCCCACCAGGTCTGCTCCAGCCAGAGGCCGGACTGGGGCTCAGGGAGGGACGGGGACCCTGGGGCTGAGGGTCAGGAGGGAGACGAGGACCCCACAAAGCGACCCAGGGGCCAGGGGTCTCGGGACCGGGTGGCACCACCTGCCCAGGGCTCCCGGGTGCCCAGCCCCATGCCCGAGCCCCAGGCTGGGGGACACCGAGGGGCAGATTCCGAATGGCCCCACCCTGTCCTCCCAGCCTAGCCGATCCAGGGAGCCGGCCCCGCTCCGGGGCCACCCCAAGGGCCCCCAAACCAGCCCGGTCCGCTCATGGCCTCTCTTGGCTGCATTGTCCGCTGGGCTTGGTGTTGAGAACCTGAGAGGCGCAGATTCTTTTACCCTTGGCCACCGCACTGTCTCCCATCCCCATGGGCTGAACATTTGCCCTGGGGACAGGAAACCACGGCTTGTTACAATAACTGAGGCGCCGGCTTGGAATTCCTGTGCCAGAGCCTGGCCTCTGCCAGAATCTGAGTCCCTGAGTCCCCCTGGGAGCCCCAGCTCCCTCTGTAACCCGGGGGACCTCACCCAGCCTGTGAAACCCACTGCTGGGGAAGCCAGATGATGCGAAGTTCCAGGCCAGTCTAGAGAATTTAGCGAGATCCTGCCTCAAACCTCAAATCCGGCTGGGGGTGGAGGGGATCAGCAGTAGGACTCTCCCACAGAGCTTGTGCAGGGGCCTGGCAGCCTCTCCCCTGCGTGCTTCCTGTAGTGAAGATCGCCCGCCTCCGCATCCTAGCGTGGTCCTGGAGTGTGCGCCACCATGCCTGGTTGCAAGTACTTAAAGTTTTGTCATTTTGTTTTGTTTTGCCAGGAGTGGGGGCAGAATCCAGCACTTGGGAGGCCGAGACAGGAGAATCGCCCCGAGTTCAAAGGCAGCATGGACACAGTGAGCTACACGGTGAGTCCAAGGCCAGCCCAAACTACACAGTGAGGGCCTGTGTTGTCCCCCACAAAATGTTTTCACTTTGAGGTGTAATCCAAGCCCACCAGCCTGCCCGCATTGAAAGGGTGTGTTTTTATAACTATATTGTGTAGCCACGAAGCTGTCATGGCTGCAGATGAGCATCCAAAGCCGCCCCTGGGTTTCTTGCACCCTTGGTAAATCTTCCCTGCTCCCCTTCCCTCAGCATAGCCTGTGCCTTCTAGAACTTAATCTTCTGGAATCGGGTAGCAGTGACTCTAGGTAGTGACTCCCTTTACCCAACATAATGCTTGTAAGAGTTATCTGTTTTGTGTCAAGAGTTCATTCCTTTATTTTGCAGTACTTTGGAGCAAACCCAGGGTCTTTGCTCTAAGCAACATCCTCAGCCTTTTTTTTTTAGTTTTTATTTTGAGTTGGGGTCTCTCTAAGTTGCCCAAGCTGGGCTGGAACTGGCGAGCCTCCTGCCTCAGCCTCCCAGTGTGCCGGGGTCACAGGTGTGCGTAACCACGCTGGGCTGAGATCGATTTATTTGTTCTTGTGTTTTCCAGACAGTATCTCGCTGTGTAGCCAAGGCTGCCTTTGAACTCGTGGCATGTGCCACCACGCCCCATTTTAGAGTTGCTGTTTTTATTTTATTTATTTTCCAGTGCCTAGATCAAAGTCAGGACCTTGTGCTTTCGAGGCAGGTGTGGCACCGCTGAGCTAAATCTCCAGCCTCAGAGTTGCCGTTTTTAAAACCTAATCTCAGTCCTTAGGGTTAGGTGCAGTGGTGCACTGGGGAGGCTGAGGCAGGAGGATAGCAGCCAGTTCCAGGCCCTTTGCCTGTTCCGCCCGTGAGCAGGTCAGACAGTGAAGCCCACATCCCAGAGGGCAGCGCTCCCCACCCCGACAGCACCGGTACCATCAATGGCAGAGCTGCGGCTCCGGGCCGTGTCGTGTCCCTTGTTGGGGACAGTAACATTCCTGCTCACTTCCAGGGACGTGTGGGCTGTCTCCGGGGAAGGGCTGCTGTCCACACTCTTGTGCAGGTAGGCGTCCTGCGTGTCCTCATGGTTTTATTTCTCTGGAGTGGGACAGCTGGGTCCTGTGGAAGATGTGTGTAATGGGCTGCTGTGTGTTTGTTTTGCAGTCCCAGTCCTGAATGTAGCAGGTGTTGAGCTACATCCCCAGCCCTTTAATTTTTTTTTTAAAATTTGAGACAGGGTCTTGCTAAGTTGCAGAGTTGGCCAGGCTTGAACTTGTAATCTTCCTGCCTCAGCCTCCCAGAGAGCTGGGATGACAGATGGGTGCCACAAGCCCACCCGAGTCAGTGAATTTAAAAATTTCAGATGTAACCAGGCGTGGTGGTGCACGCCTGTCATCCCAGCACTTGGGAGGCTGAGGCAGGAGGATCGCTATGAGTTTGAGACCAGCCTGGGCTACATAGTGAGTTCCAGGTCAGTCTCAACTACACAGGGAGACCCTGTCTCAAAAAACAAAACCAAACAAAAATTTTTTTCAGATGTTACAGGTTTTGGTTCCAAATCTCCAGGTGGTTCTTTTTCACAATGCACTTGTCGCTGGGCACACCGCCCCAGGCTGGCGGGTAGGCTGACTGTCTGGGAGGCCGCCAGCCACTCCTACTGTCAGGTGTGCTGTGGCGGCAGGGCGCAGCTGGCCGGGCACTGGTGTGGGACGCTGCCTGGGTCTGTCCTTCACGTATGTGGAGAGTGACTCCGGTGCACTGCTCTCCCGCAGACCTGCCTGAGGACTCCCGGGGCCGGCATCACTGTGGCCTGAGCTCCGCTGCCCGATTTCTGTCCCCCTGGCTGGGGTGCAGGGGCCTGAGTCTCGGAGGCTGGGTGGGTGCGGCCCAGCGGACACTTGGGGTCACAGGGGGCTGCCCGGGGCCCACCCTGTTCCCTCTTTCAGGTCCCGACATCAAGGCGGGCAGCAGCCCTGCGCAACCCCGGGATCCGCAGAGCCCCGCGTGCACCAAGGACCCCAAGAGCCCGGAGCATCCCGAGTCTCCCGCGCACCCAGAGGACCCTGCACACCCCGCGCTCCCGCAGCTC